CTTAATTTTCTAAGTATCTCCATGAAAATTTCAGTAAAGAGTTTTACAGAAAGATGATTCTTCTTTTGTAGACATCTATCACATACAYTCAACACAATCAAATGCAAATTGACACTTCCTCAAGCAAATGTCCACACAAATGGACACTTCCTCCAACTCTTCTAAAGTTTCTGAGATTAAATTTTAGTCTTCCTATGGGCACTGCCTGAGTGATACTTTACAGCCCATAAAAAAATCTCTAAAAATTGATTAAGAGCTAATTCAAGATTGATCCTATCAATTATGTAGTCTGTAATTTTTATTAAATCAAACCTTTAACCCTTGTACTCTGTAGGAAAAGAAAGGAAAAAGGACCACAGTGGTTTCTATCAATAAAACTTTAGTACATCAGCAGGCACAAAAGAATGTTAAATTAATATATTTGGACTGAAAACGTGGCAGTTTACAAATGTGCCAGAAGTCCAGACGACTTCAGTCGTGAATGAGCTCTCATTTACAGCTTTCCTCAACAAAGAAATAAAAGTAACTTCCACAATAATAAACAAGTCTGAGTAAACAATCAGACTAAATGCATGGCAGTAACTTCCTGCCRCTCTTATTTTTTCTAGTACATTTGATATCAACAAGCCAACATGACACTCCAAAGCCCACTGAAGGCTGTTGGGAAGGCTTGAAGAGCACTGAGCCGAGCTCTGGGTCCCATCCCTCCCTCTAAAATGAAACAGCTCTTTCCAAGAAAACAAAAGACAATAAGTAAAATAGAAAATTCACCTCCAGGCTACTCCTCCTTTTTCACACATACATCGAGAAAATGCAGAAGGATGGAAATTAACCTCAAGGTCTTAGGGGAAGGAAATTTCATTAGAAAGATCTGAAATCTCATGATTGCTTTTCCCTCAAAAAGTGATCATAAAGGAAATAAAATATTAACATAATTTAAGCTGAATAGAATGATAGACCATCGACATGAGTTTTTAATTTTAAAAATATTTAAGTTCAATAATCAAAGCTATAGACACTGGTTATAGAAAAACCCCCAAAGAATTGGATCACTTTATTAAGGTTTACATATGTCAGTAACTAAGAATATTCTGCCATTGTCTTGAGGTTGTTTGAGTCATTGATGAAACATTGAAAGATAAAAATTAGGGGATCACWGTATCCTTCATTTGCTCTTCTAACTTGAAAACAACCCAGAGGTTGTCATACTGTCTAAAAGGCAACAACTATATTCTAAAGAGGTAAAAAAACCACAGTAAAGTTTCCTGGGGTTTCCATTAACAGCACAGTGCTTTCATTTAAGCCAACAAAGGACTTTGTTCTCAAAAAATATCAAAGAATATAAACTTGAAATTTAGAATAAGCGAGGAATGGGGAATTATATAATGAAAAAAAAACCCAAACAAACAAAAAAAAAAAAAAAAAAAAAACCCTGCTTTCCTTTTTTAGTATCTGCTCCAAAATGGACTTTTATATGTTTAGCACTTCCAAAAAAGGAGAGTCTTGGCAGTTGTTCTGTGTATCACGCTTACTTCCTTCAAATACTTGGAAAAAAATCAGGTTTCCACCGGTACTATTAGGCATTGCCCAGAAGTGCTTCCAAGCAGAGTTGCCACACCAAGTATTTCCATAAAAGTTTAAATCTTCAAACCTGTCTCAGTATTTTMAGCAAAGAGACTGTATATGGAAATRCAGGCTAWTGAATTACTAAGATCAAACTTTTTATTAAAAGCAAATATTGTTATTTTTAGGCCAATTAAATAAATTCTTTAGTCATACTTCATTGATATTGTTTAAAAAAATCCATGTAAATAAATCACATCTGATATTTTTGTAATTAAAGGTAATTACTGATCTTAATTTAAAATATTTAATTAAAAAATATCACACAGCTTCAATCACTGCTCAGTTTTGGCATCAAGAATCACTTGAAATGAATCAACACAGCAATTTATGGATGACTTACCATTAAGGACATTCTTACACAAAGTTTTACTTCAGTCTGTCTGCTTGAAATAGGTCCCACAAGACTTTAGGGACAAGATTTGTCCTGAAAGAGGCCAATTCAGAGCTGTTTAGAATATATTTTTAAATCAATTCAGTAAGACTTTTCAGATAGGAGCCTTCATAGAGAGCAGTGGGAGGATGATGCAACCTCTAAACTTCCACAGACTAAATCAATGGTAGGGATCTGACTAGGAACAGCAATTTTGCCTCAGTAAAAATGTCACCTTGTAATAACAGAGCTGTTTCAGAAAACCACAGACATTTAAAATAGTTGTGAGTTGCTACGGTTTTTTTTTTTTTTGGGGGGGGGGAAGAAAAAAAGAAAAAATTTAAAACGGAGAAGAGGAAGAAATGGAAGTAGGGGACAAAGAAGGAAAAAAGTGGATAAAAAAGGACTTTTCTAAGGAACACAGCTATCTGAGAAAATAAACTGCTTGGGATGAAAGCTATACTTCTACAGATGCTCCAGTCTTTGTTTTCAGCATTTCTAGTTTCTACACACTCATTTGACTCCCTAGCCTGACAGCTGTAGCAATCTGCTGAAGAGCACACAGGCTCTACTCCTGTCCTGTGCTCCTATTTATTTACTGGAAGTGGATCCCCATCAAAAGACTCAATAGAGCATTGCAGCGCTGCAATGGCCTGACCTGGGGCACAGCATCCTCCTCGGGGAGGATTGATCTGAGCCCACAGCCTCCACATGAGAGAGGAGCCGTCTCTTTACTGCACAGCCTGCCAGGGAAAGGCAAAGGAGAACATCCTCAATGGCCCAGAGGAAAATTGACCATATTACATGAAACAAAGAGCTTTCATTGTGAGGAGGTAAAAGACCCAGCCCTGCCAGGAAAAAGAAAAAAAAAAAAGTAATTGCAGTTTGGTTTAGTTTTCTTGTTTGATTTAGCATTAGGCATTTGCTGTTCTTTTTTGCCCTACTAATTTCCTGTCAGAATTGGCAGCCAATGACTCACCTGCATTCACAGATGAGTATCTCCAAAACATCAGTCCACAGCTCCTTTTCTCAATGCTTTGATTTAATCACAGAAAGCAACCCCCACACTGACCCCATGAATGCAGCATTATTCAAAGCACTAGGCAAAAACAAGGCCAAGTARCTTCCCTTTATGTCTGCAGATATTGCCATAATAGATGTTCTGAAATCAGATATTCTAAGTACCTTGTCTTCACAGTAATTCCCAGAGTTCAAGGGAAAGAAATAGTAAGTAGTCCTGGAGAAAAACTATGTCCAGTCTCCCTAAAATGAAAGGAATGTGATGATCAGGGCAGTTTTTGAGAGTTCATGTCTGGAGAACCAAACTGGCAAGTCCATGGGTCTGCAAGTAGCTCTTCATGCCCAGGGGGGAAGCCCCTGTGGTTCATTTTCTGATCAGCAATGCCCAATCTATTTCCTGCATACTGCAGATTAAGCATGGGTTCAATGGATAGGCACAAATTAGAGAAACAAATTAAGTGTCCTTAGGTTACAGTTTTAATCTAAAGACCAGAGATTTTTCACAGGCAGCCTTGTGGTCCCAATAGATATTGCAAGAACCATGTAAACACATATTACATATGTTACTGAGAAACTGAGCAGGGTTTTTCCTGCAGCTGGCATYCTGCCTACCAAGTTATGGTGAACGGCTAAGTCCTTAATGTTTGTCATCAGAAATTACTGTGCAAACACCAGTCTGACTGACAACTTATCTAATGGGCGAATCAAAAGTAAATGAGAAAAAGGGAAGACAAGTGACCCAATGAAGAACCAACAATTTGTCATTTGGGATGTTTTGTTAGGCAGTTTGACAGATTTCCTGCTGGTTAACTGATTAAATTTACATTTCTCTATTTTTAATCTTTAATTTATTTCATACTCAAATATGATTGTTAGCCATTCATCAATAAGGTTTAAAGTGCTCATGATTAATGGCCAGTGCTTTCAGTCTAAATAAGAGATTCTGCGATGCTGGGATTTATCTGGCTCTGGAGATTGCAGGATCGCTCCGAGTGCCCATTCCTTAGTTACAATAAAGCGGGACCGGGAGAATTGATGAGATTCTGTGCCACTGCCGTGCTGAAATTAAATGGGAGCAGCTATTAAGGGTCTGCGCGAGATAATGATGAAAAAGAAATCAAAGGGTTAACAAGACTATGCTCTTGATATAAGTAACGCCAGAGAAATTAATACTCATACTCCGTCCTATAGATAAGCAGGGATTTACAGCATCTATAGGTAGAAAGCATTGGTGAGATGACCCCCCCAGGGCTGTGCCGGGTCTGTGAGGATGCGAGCAGAGCCTGTCTCTCCGAGCCGCGGGCGGAGGGTTCGGGAGCCCGGAGCGGAGCGGCAGCGGCCGGGGAGGCACCGCGGGCRGCAGCTCCAGCGGGGCAGCGGCGGCGAAAGGGTTAACGAGGAGCCTCCACGCACTGAGCCGCTAATTGCCAAGATAGCGTATTACTTGAGGAAAGTAATTTGATTACTCGAAACTCCCACTAAAGCAGGCAAGCTCGTGTCCTTCCATCTGTCGGGCTCCGTGAAAGATGATGAAYTGAGCTCCAAATTCACGTGTGATGAAGTCACTGTCAATCCCCGCCAGCCCAGCCCGCTGCCATGCCCACCGCACAGAGGGGAGCACCGCAATTCAACTTTCCCTCGGAAACCCGGGAGGCTCAGTAACCTGTTACTTGCTGCTGCTCGCTTTTTCCTTTTTTTTTTTTTCCTTCTTCTTTTTTTTTCCCCTCCCCGTTTTCTGCCTCAGCGCTACAACTGAGTCATTCCGGTGCCCATGGCTCGTGGGTACAGCGGGCTCCCGCTGCGCTCGCCTTTATTCCCCACTTCAGCCGGCAGCGATATTTTCGGCTGATGCAGATGTGGGGCTCGCTCGCCGGCGCTTTGTAGCCACTTGTCGAGAAGCACTCGGAAAGCCTTAACTATGCATAAATCTGCAGAGTGAATGTTTTCTTTCATTCACTTGCTCCTATTATTTGATTTCTTGTAGGCCTCTGCGGCAGAAATGGAGAAAATAAGGTAAGTGAGACAGTTTATTTACATCTCATTATAGAGAAGAAATGTGTTGCACAATGCACGGTACAGGCTCTTGGAAAATATTTTGCTTGATACGATCAGAGTAGAATACTGGATTGCATGATGATGCAAGGCAAGCTGTGCTTTAAAGACAAAAGAAAAGGAATGTGTTTGTTCTAGTACATCTGTTTTGCAGGGATGTCAATTCAGAAAGCATGTTTTACACACAAACGTGTTTTATTGCCAGATGCAGAGCATATTTGATTATATAAATGTTGTAGCCACTTGTCCATTTACTGCAAGAGCCTGGCATTCCATTTAATGAGGAAAGTGGATCAATAATTCATGAAAAAGCTGAAGAAAATATAGGCTTGACTTCAAAGCATCTAATTAATGTGGTTTGTTTCAATATAGCACTGTAACATTGGTGTTCGATTTTTGTTTTATATTGTATACCAGCCAGATAAATCTTGTCTCCTCTGTGTTTAAAATGTTGTCATACTGTACCAGTTTCTCAGCACATCTCTCTGCTTTAAGCAAAAGGAGATGGKTTTTATAACATAAGTTTTCCATCTCATGTCCTAGTGCAAGTCTGYTTTGGGGGATATTGCTTTTGTGTTATGTTGTTGAGAAAGAAAAAGAAAGAAGAAAGCATTCTAGACCTTTTTAATAAATTAATTAAAAATTAGTAAAATCTAACACATTATCAAAGTAATAGGTAAGAGCTGAACTTTTTACTACCCTTGAAATACTTTACAGAACTTATTTTCATAACCAAATAYGCTGGCCATGTTCTTACTTGATTTTATTGGACAAGCCTGAATTCCTTCTCTGAACCTGGTAACTCTGGTTAGGGACAACTGTTGTCCAGGAACAACTTTTTGGATTCCTCCAGTTTGGAGTAGCTATCCTGAGTTATTAGAAATGCAGAAAAGTTCTGAAATTCTAGARATAACTGGGGAAGAAGTGGCAAATGCAAAACAACAGAAATTCAGTTAGGTGTTTAATGAATTCTGGGCTGGAAACAGAATCCTGTTTTTCTTTTGTGGCAAAGGAGGTTAAGTCTTTTACAGTGGACTTGAAGATACATGTGSAAAAGTTGCTACAAATATGTTTTTCAAGCTCTTAACTCATACAGTTTTGTAGAGCCTCATGACAGCAAAAGTATTGTAACTTTTGTGCTGAAAGGAAAACACTGTGCAATGTATCATGGATTTGCATGTATAAAAGCACTGTAATGTTAAAGGTGTGAGTTTTTCCTGAGTAATGCCTGAGAAAGTGCCTYGATACATGGACGGGTGTCGAATAAAAATTCCAAACAGGGCCACCTATGGTATATGCACACTTCTGTCATAAATTACTCTGTTAGAAGATGTAAGCAAATATATATTTACATGTTTGCTTGATAAGCATGTGTGAACAAATGCAATGTAATACTTGTAATAATTTCCTGAGCATTYCTTGGTCTCTGCTTTTAGTCTTGCCTCTTTTGCAAGAATGGTCTGCAGAACCCAGGAGAATGAGCAGAATCTATTGAAAAAAAAATACAGAATTTTCTGTGATCAGAATAAGCATTCAAGAAGTTCCATTTTCCAAACACCATAATTTTTCATCTGTCAGGCTTGCTAGTCCTTACCTCAGTACTCCCTGAGTACTACATGGATGGAAAAGCCCACTCTGCCCCACTGAATGGAGTAGGAGCTTAGCTGTTAACTCCACAAAGACAAGGGTCAGGCTCTCTCAGGAGTTTGTTAAAGAAATTTTCTGTTAAAAATTTTTGAGTGTAAAAGTTGATTCTGGCAGATGTTTGTCCCCATCACCCCAGCCAAGGAGAGCAGCAAGCCAGGCTGGGGGTTCTGAGCAGGACCCAGTGCACGAGCTGCACTGCTCCATCCCAAACTTTTCCAGGCTCCCTGCTGACAGTCATCCTCTCGGATGCAAACTGACAGATTCCTCAGCAGTTTAAAGAAACTGTCTGGAATCATCTTAAAAATCTGGTAAACTCCCAGCCTGGAGAGAATTAGAGTTTTCTAAACTTATTCTCCAAGTCTGGCACACAGGTGAAAAACAAACTACCCTGTGTTTTAACCACAGTGACTTCAGAGAGGTCATGAAGAGAGAGAATAGGAAGGTAGGAGAAGAAAGAAACAATCAAAGAGGAAAATGGTAGGCTGGGAGGACAGAGGTATTTTTGTTATATGTAGAAACAAGTGTAACATGGAAAAGCCATTCCCACATGGTTCCTCATTGTGTTCTGCCCTATCTCCTGTGCCCAGTTTTTTCCCCAGTCTACCAGTTGAGGATCTGCCATTGCACATAACCTGGGATGGTGCTGGCCCAAGGACCAGAGGGTGAGCTCACTGTGGAGCTGGGGTGCACAGAAGGTACACAGGGCTCCTGCAAAAGAGGGGGAGAAAGGGGTTCTGTAGGGACAAAAAGGAAACAAACCTTGTTAGAGAAACTGGACAAGAGGAGCAAGGTGGATAACCACAGGACAGCGAAGCCAGGTTGAAAACACTCAGGGTTAGAGAAATACAGGTTTGCATTCCACAGTGCATTCCAAGAGAAAAGAGTCTATTAAACGAGAACAGGTGCATAGAATCACACTTCTCAGTGTGGCAGTCCTTGGGAGCTCACAGGGCTAAACATTTTAGGAAGGCAGCTCTGTRAGACGTTGGGTGAGCTTTGCACATTCCCAGCCCAGGAGAATGGGGATCCACCTGGGGCATCCCCAAGGACTGGGGTAGCYGGACCCTTTCAGAGAGAGGGGTGAATGCAGGAGCCTGAAAAATCCATCCACTGAAGACCCACGCTTTATTCAGCCATAAAATTCATTGAGCCAGGCAGCACCAGAATAGTGCAGCAAACTATTACAAGTCTTATTGTTACATTCCTTCCCTGAGAATCTGACCAGAGYGATGTGATTCGTCTCACATAAAGCAGCAATAATTCCCCTTGCAGACCAAGGAGCTGCTGTGACCTGCAATGTCACATGCTGTCCTTTCCAGCAGGGGCTTGCTSTGACAGAGTTATGTGTGGAAGGAGAAGTAGGAAGCAGAGGTGGGAGGTTGTCAGTATTTAGCCTGACACAGGGACACCTTCCTCTAGAAGTGGCAACATGCAATTTTGTGCTAAAACTTTGACTGAAAAGAATCGGGTTTTGCAACCAAGTCTTCTCACTGTGAAYGATTCTTAGCAGCACAGTGTTTAATACATCTAAGGGTACCAATATATAAGGCAGAAGTAAGGCTGACTGATGATCACAAACCTCTTGAGGATCTRCACTTATGTAGGTTGGCTGTGTATGGTTATAGAGTCACTTTAAGCATTAATTACTCCTGGCTCCAACCTTTTAAATAGAGTTTTTGGATCTGGTTCTTTTTCATGTCTATAAACAAGGCCTGAAAATCTTAGTTAATTAAAGTGAATTTCAAATATACCTATACTGTCTTATTTTTGACTCAGCAGTGTGCTATCTTTGGCGCATATATGAAGAGAAGCACAAGCCTTCCAAGCCTGAGGCCTCGTAGCTCTGTGGTGGCTGGCACACAAAATTGCCAGTGCTCTGGAAACTACTCCTTTAAATCAGATTGAKCCCATAGAATGGTTAGATGTGCAAATGAAAAACCAATTCCAATACAACTCCAGTACAGACTCCTGGCAGCTGTTTCTTTGTTTCCATTTCATCCTGCTTGAAACACAGGTCAGAATATTCAAACTTTCTAGTGAGGATGATGTAAGGTTTGGCAGAAGAGAACTCTAAATTTACTTTATACACAAATATTGACCAGATTCTCAGGGCTCCTTACACTGAAGAGCATCTCACTCCACAGGAAAAGCCRCTTAAAGAAACAGTTATTGTTCAGTAAAAGCTTTTTCCTTTTTGTTTTTTAAATACACTCCTGAAATTTCAGTGACAATTTAGAAACTCTATAAATCAATATTCCTAATTCTCAGCTTTCAAGATCCACAACAGGCTGAACTCTATATCTGAAAGTACACAGAACAGAGCACATCATCACCATCACCAACTCCCAGGCTCACAGGGAGCTGAGTTTCCACTTTACAACATAATCATGGTATTCCTCAACTGAGGGTTACTTTATTTTGGTAGCATCAGTTGGAGCACTTCACTAATTATGCAGGGATCTCTGATAAAAGTTACCCATGTCTCAGGGAACCTTTGAGGTAGCATCTCCATTTCACTGTAGTCCTTGTTTCAGAACATATGAAAGCAAAGTGGTTTGTTTTGCACACACAGCTGGTAGTAAGTCAGCAGCTTGATCCAAGTCTCTTGAATTTTTAGACTTGGACTTTTCTCAAGCATGCTTGAGTTCATCTGTGGCAAGAAGGGAATATGKGTTTCTTCAAAAGGAACATCAGAGGCACACACAGTTCTAGGGAAAAGCCTCTGCTATGTTGTACTGAAAATGTACACGAAAATGTAAATACTTTCCTAAATGCCCACCTGATCATGCTGCCTTCCCTGCACTCAGTATAAATATAGCCCTCTTCAGATGCTAATGAACACACTGCAATTTCCTGCCATCTCCACCTTGTCCTTATTCCTCTCTCAGCCTGTATCCACATTAATTTTCCCATTTACGTGAACACAAGGGGAGCTGATTTTTGTTTTCCCCAGAAAGTTAACCACCAAACATGGTTTACTTTACCCTAGGTCTGGTCTTCACATCCACAGCTGATATGCTGGGAGCCACTGCCTTGTGCAGAAGCAAAATGCCCCAGGACAGCAGCAGGACTGTGCAAGAAGCAGCTCCACCATCTGCTCAGCAGTGTCTTCAGGCTTGAGTTGATGCTGGGATGTGAAACCCCAGCTGTGGACACAGGMAAAGAGATGGAACAGGGCAAGCTTGGAAGAAATAGAGCATAGGGAAATGCTAGCATGAAAGGGACATCAGTTTGGGGTCATTAGAGGTGATGGYAAAAAAGTCACCAAGCTGGGTGAATTTTGGGTCCATTTTGAAAGAAGCAGAAGAAAAGGA